CCGGATCGCGCCTGCCCTTTTTCTAGTAACTTTGGGCAGCGTCGCGCTGAGCGTGCGGGGGCTTGTCCGAAGCAGCTGCACGCTTGTCTTTGTAATGCTGCAGTGAGGCAGAACTGCAACTGTGGAGGCCCGTCCTGGCGAAGCCAGAATTGCTTGTGTTTTGCGGCCCTGAAAGCGGGGTCGCCCGACCTCCCCGTAACTTGGGCTTCGTCCTGGCAATGCTGCTGGCCCTCCAGTTGAGCTGCAGGTCTTTGTTGGTGTTTTCTGTGGATAGGAGTCACGCTTCAAGCTCTGGGGAGTTGACCAACGTGGCCTCAACGTTTTCTGAGGTTGTGCAGAGTCGCTTGCTAGACATTGCAGAATGAAAGTTTTTTTGGCAGGCTTGGGCTTTGAACAGCAAAGATATTTAAGCGTGTTGCAGGCCCGGATTTTAAGTTGCCATGCGCCCAATGAAGAAGAAGATTTTGGGGAAGGGCGACGTCCCCAGCGACAGGGTTGTGCACGTGGGTTTGGAGTGGGTTTGACCATGTTTTGAAGGGACTGAGAATAGCGGGTGGGTTTGGGGTGGGTTCGGCGTGGGTTTGGGGTGGGTTTGGCTGAGTTTGACCATGCTTGGAATGGACTGGGGTGGGTTTGACAGTGTTTTGAAAGGACTCGGGGTGGGTTGGACCTGTTTAGAAGGGGTGCGGGTGGGTGGGGTGGGTTTGACCGTGTTTTGAAAGTGGGGTGGTTTTGACCGTGCTTTGACGGCTGGGATGGGTTTGACCATGTTTTGAAGGCGCTGAGGGTAGCTTTCGGGTGGGTTTGGGGTGGGCTTGGGCGGGTTTGACCATGCTATGAAGGGGCTGGGTTGGGTTTGACCTCTTTTGAAAGGGTTGGGGTGAGGGGGGCCTTGACTGTGTTTTGAAGAGGCTGGGAAGGGGGCTTGATTTCCACAGCAAGTGCTAGGAGACCGAGTTCCTGCAGCAGCTTAACCTGCTAGAGAACATAGCGAAGGTCACTTTCCTGCTGCGTGATGGAGGCCCTCCACCCCCGTAGAGTCTTAGCAAAACGGACCAAGGTGGCGAGCCTGCCCGCGAACGGCGGAGTCGCTGTGTTCCCGAATTACAAATTCCGGGAAGCCTAGGACTCCACGGCACTCTATTGGTAAATTGCAATTTGCGAGGACTCCGCCGACTCCGCCGAGGCTTGTCACGCCGACTCCGCCAGAGCTACAGTAGGTGCCCCTCTAATCTTGATTAGCGACGCCGCGTAAGTGGGCAGGGGTAGAGTTGCGGGAAGAGCACGTGACTATTCGCTGGAAGTGTGTCAGATAGTAGAAGCAGAAGGCAGTGTGTGCGTGAGGCTTGCAGCTGTGATTCTGTGACCTCCAAATCTGGGGTCGAAAAATCTAGGCAATTCTGGCTTCGTGTGTGTGGGCCTCCCCTGTGCAAGTTTCTCTCATGTTGATCACTTCCACAAGAAAGCTGCCTGCGGAGGTCGTGGTTCTCAGTAATTGCTCTTTCCACGTTGAGTGCTTGTCTGTGGGCCAGAGTCGCCTGAGTGTAGCAGTCTGGAAAGCGCCAAAAATAGAAGAATTCGCGGCGCCAAATCTGGGGCCGCCAAACGGCCCCAATTTTGGGGTCGCAGTTTCACCCCCCCCAATCTAGTTCCAAATTGTATTGCGGGAGCTGGGTCCATTTCGCGGCCCCATTTTTGGGGCCGCGAGACGGCCCGTTTTTTTGGCCCTTGAATTTGAGCTTGTGGGCGCAAGCAACCGGATCGCGCCTGCCCTTTTTCTAGTAACTTTGGGCAGCGTCGCGCTGAGCGTGCGGGGGCTTGTCCGAAGCAGCTGCACGCTTGTCTTTGTAATGCTGCAGTGAGGCAGAACTGCAACTGTGGAGGCCCGTCCTGGCGAAGCCAGAATTGCTTGTGTTTTGCGGCCCTGAAAGCGGGGTCGCCCGACCTCCCCGTAACTTGGGCTTCGTCCTGGCAATGCTGCTGGCCCGCCAGTTGAGCTGCAGGTCTTTGTTGGTGTTTTCTGTGGATAGGAGTCACGCTTCAAGCTCTGGGGAGTTGACCAACGTGGCCTCAACGTTTTCTGAGGTTGTGCAGAGTCGCTTGCTAGACATTGCAGAATGAAAGTTTTTTTGGCAGGCTTGGGCTTTGAACAGCAAAGATATTTAAGCGTGTTGCAGGCCCGGATTTTAAGTTAAGATTTTGGGGAAGGGCGACGTCCCCAGCGACAGGGTTGTGCGCGTGGGTTTGGAGTGGGTTTGACCGTGTTTCGGGGGGACTGGGAATAGCGGGTGGGTTTGGGGTGGGTTCGGCGTGGGTTTGGGGTGGGTTTGGCTGAGTTTGACGTTTTGAAAGGACTCGGGGTGGGTTGGACCTGTCTAGAAGGGGTGCGGGTGGGTGGGGTGGGTTTGACCGTGTTTTGAAGGTGGGATGGCCCTTAGCTTTCGGGTGGGTTTGGGGTGGGCTTGGGCGGGTTTGACCATGCTATGAAGGGGCTGGGTTGGGTTTGACCTCTTTTGAAAGGGTTGGGGTGAGGGGGGCCTTGACTGTGTTTTGTTTTGAAGAGGCTGGGAAGGGGGCTTGATTTCCACAGCAAGTGCTAGGAGACCGAGTTCCTGCATCGGCTTAACCTGCTTGAGAACATAGCGAAGGTCACTTTCCTGCTGCGTGATGGAGGCCCTCCACCCCCGTAGAGTCTTAGCAAAACGGACCAAGGTGGCGAGCCTGCCCGCGAACGGCGGAGTCGCTGTGTTACCGATTTAAAAGACATTGTTTTGTTATTCCGGGAAGCCTAGGACTCCACGGCACTCTATTGGTAAATTGCAATTTGCGAGGACTCCGCCGACTCCGCCGAGGCTTGTCACGCCGACTCCGCCAGAGCTACAGTAGGTGCCCCTCTAATCTTGATTAGCAACGCCGCGTAAGTGGGCAGGGGTAGAGTTGCGGGAAGAGCACGTGGCTATTCGCTGGAAGTGTGTCAGATAGTAGAAGCAGAAGGCAGTGTGTGCGTGAGGCTTGCAGCTGTGATTCTGTGACCTCCAAATCTGGGGTCGAAAAATCTAGGCAATTCTGGCTTCGTGTGTGTGGGCCTCCCCTGTACTTCCGGCGAACATGGCTTGGTTGTGCTTGGAGCTTGGATCTTGCGATGGACGACCGATTGTTGAAGGAGTGGCAATGGGTTTGGTGGCACCGTTGATTGAGGTTCGTGGATTTCTCTTGCGGATTGACGTTAAGCAAATGTCTACAAGATGGTGGTTTTGACTTTTTGGCATGCACAGCTTGGTGCGGCATGGAAGTGCTCTTGGATATCGACGACGTTGAGTACTGAGCGCGCGGGGAACCTGGTAGTTTGGTCGCTTCCGGTTTCTTTTGGTTGTTGCTGCTTGTTTGCTGGTTGTTTGGTTGGTTTGGTCGGTGGTGGTGTTCGTCCTTCTTGTTCTTCCTGCTTCTCACGGCGATCCGTTTCACACCTAGTTGCGAGACCCACAAGAACGGCCTACTGTGCTACTGATGTAGTAAAGAGGCGCCCGCTTAAAAAAAAAATATTTCCGGGAAAGGCGCGTAGTAGATTTCTGTTTCCTTTGTTGCAAGTTCCACAAGAAACGGTCTACTGCTGCTAATTGTGAATCGTTTTCTGTGTCTTTTGCGTTACGCGGACGACAAAGCATGTTGAGTCTTGGTCTGTGTCGCAGTTGCGTCTGTGGTTGGTAAAATGGTTTTCGTAGCTTCTTTTTGCGCTAGAGGGGCGTTGTGTTTGTTTTGGTGTTCTGGAGGCTTCGTTTTGTTCTTTAAAGTTTTCCTTTGCTATTGTGCGTAGGACGCGCCATGACAGTCAATATGGTTGAGTTTGAGGGCTTTGTGATGCGCACTTAGGTTAGAGATTTGCACAGCTGCATCAAATCGTTGCCTGAGCTTCCTTTTTCTTCCAGTAAACGTCGCGCAGTTGTCACAGCCATGCAGCCCCATCTTCGGGGACCCGCCGACACCCGCCGTGTCGAAGTCAAGATCTGTGCGTCATCCTGTGAGGGTGCAACGTGGTGAGGTTTGTAGTTTTGTGTGCGTAGTTTTGGAGTCTGCTCAGCTTCTTGCAGTTTTTCCGTAGTTCCGAAGTGTGCTTAGTGACGTAGGAACATTTTGCCACGTTTTGCCTCATAGGGAATTGCTTTCGACGCTGGAGGGTAGTTTTGGAGGTCTTTTAGATCAAGCCTTTAGTTGGAGAGTGTGTGGAGCTTTTCCTCTGAAGTGTTGTCCGATCGTCTGAGCTTGGTTGCTTGGATTGGACTTGCTGGAGTGTTGTTTTGGTTTGTGACCTAGGTGTCTTGTTTGGTATCTTGGTTTTTAACGGAACGCGCAAGGACCGCCTACTGATTGGCTGACGCTCATTTTGTTTATGGTGAGCTCTTTTAGCGTCATAGCTGCACTTGCGTAAGCAAGCCTCAAGGATGTGAGACACGAGGCTGGCGTGCCGGTCCATGGACCCAGCACATGCCTATGAGAGATTGGCCTTCCGGTCCACGGACCCAGCAAAGGCGCGACAGAAACACAGTAGTAAGCACAAAGAAGCTTGGAATGATGACATGGATAAGTTGACCAGCTCTCCAAGATTGAAACACTGTGGGTGAGAAATGTAGATGCAGCTGGACACAATGACTGCGAAAAGAAGTAGAATCAGTGAAGGTGTAAAATATAAGACTCTGCTGCATCGGAGGTGGCTGATGGAAGCTACTAGGTTTATGCTGCTGGATGGGCAGTTTCTGATATCACGACAACGCAAGTAAGGACCCCCAACCATATACGACAAGTGATCAGAATATGCCCATCCTTCGATCTGTGATTTCACAAATGATCACCTGTAATCGAATGCAGCGGGCGTGTGCTGTCAGCAAAAGGAGTAATGCGAATACATACACAGAAGGATTCAAGATGCTATTCGCCCACTAGTGCAAGGAGATAAGAATTCCTCATGATGATCTCAGCCTCATTTGAGGAGAGTTCCGCCACTCTCACCCCATCTTCAGAAGTGTATCTGTGACTGTCACCGATGTTCGCGTCTCGGATATCATGAAAGAAGGCTCTGTAGTGACCTGATTGTGGACTGCTGCCAAGATAGTATACGCCGGATACGACACGATAGGATTGCAATATTTCCGTCCATCCACCAGAGTAGGAATTAAAATACTGTCAGGGATCTTGAGGCGAACATTGTTCTTCCTGACCCGGCCATGCTGAAGGGAGAAACGCATGACTTGAAGGAAAAGAATCCTCGGTGGGTGTATCAGAAATTGCAAGCCATCTGCCGTCTGTTGCCATTCCTGTACCATGGCTAGAAGACTCCGGTAGCAAGTGTTGCCAGTGTTTTGGAAGATTGGCAGGTCATCCGTGGTCATCACGCGTTGTCTGGAAGGAGCTCCACGATGCGATTCGCCAGTGGGTTCCGTTGACGTCGATCCTGTCTGAAGCGTCCGAACACTAGCTTCCACGCTGCCAGATCGCATAGGTTCCCGAAGATGACGATGGAGGTCCTGTTCCGAGTCTCCCACTGTTCCGATCTCGAGAAACATCGCGACCTGTTCTCCCTCCATGTGGGACGTCAACTTCCGGCTGGGTTGGCATCTCAGAACCGTCTCTCCCGTCAGCAGACCAATGGCGCTCTGAGTCTTCCTTTGCCAGCGCTCCTGCTTCCAGACTGTAGAAAGTCCAGGGTCCAGGCCAGCGAATAGAAGAATTTGCAGGACGCGAGTTGCAATCCAGTTGGGACTATGAATGGCCTTTAGTGATGGAAGTTGTGCCCTTCATAGAGGTCGACTGTTGTTCCTCCTGCATGCAAGACTGTGATAATACCGAAAACCACAGTCATGTCCAATCATGCAAAAGGCACATGTGGTATGCGTCGCCACTGTAATGTACTTTTCCGGCTGTGCAGAGGCTTCCATTTGTACAGGGTGGCCATCAACCTCCGATACTGCATTGGTACCGGTCGTCTCTGTGTGGTTGGAGGTAATGAATGATGGGATGCCGCAAGATTGCTATCGTCCTCGGTTGGAAGCACAGTGGCCTCATTGTGCCGGTCCGTCGGCATCTCCGTGGCCAGCGTTCCGTCCTGCCCCTCTGCGTCCGTGATCGGCTCATGTTCTGTGGGCAGCTCGGCAACTCCACTGGCTTCCTCACGACTAAACATGTTGTCACCATCGCTTGAGAGACGGGTGAACGCCTTTTGTCCAAGAGCAAGTAAAGTGCTGGCGTCGGTGCCAGACCTAAGCAGAAGGGAGCGCCGCCCCTTGGCGGGGACCGGAGGGCTCGGGGGGCGGCAGCGGCAGACACCACGTGGCCGAGCCTGGATGGCCCGTTTGCCACCGCAGGGTTTGAACCATCGTAGCAGTGGGGTCACCGTCGCCCATGGCTTCTCAGATGGTGCTGCCAAGAGTTTGGCAATTCGGTTGGTTGCTTTCGAAGTCTCTCCCAATCGGCTCGAGCATCCTCCAGCTGTTATAAGCCCACTCTCGTGGCCTGACGATGGTAAGGAATCCCCTTTGCTGATAGGCTGAGTCTATGACTCGTACTGCTTCACGAGGCAAGCAGGCCATACGGTCGTCGAGTGCCCATTGAGAGATACGCTTGTCGACTGAATGGTGGGTCCGAGGTCCTGTTCGGAAGGTTGTCCCTCAATCGGCTTACCAGTGATTGCTTACCCTTTGAGTGTCATGCTGGGGTATGGACTGAACGCTCTGTGTGCGGTACGTCAGGAGGGCACATGTAGGGGGGGGGGGAATCATAGTCACGGAATAGGGTGGTGTCTTCAGCGTTGCCTCGTAAAGGCCCGAGGGCCGGGGGGGGGCCCGTTGATGGATGTCCCGGTCAAGGAGGCATCCTCGAAACTGCGGCCGAAGTTGGTCGGGCGTCTTGTTGGCTTAGGTGTTCTTATGGGTTTCACTTGGTCCATGCTGACCTTGGGGGGCCAGAGAGCTCCAGTGCCTTGCACGTGACGATCCCACCGAAAATTGTGGGCGCCAAAGCTTTGCGAGATGTACCCACCAGCTCCACAAACATAGTCCTGAAAGGCTTCAAGAAGAGGCGTCCGAGCGGGAGAGGTCTTGAGGTGGCTAGGGAGGGCGTCCCGGAGGTGGGACCTCCATTGATAAGGTACCGGCGGTACCTGGACGGCGTACCTTCAGATTCCGTAGGAGGGAGCCCTACAAGTCTTCTTAATTGGGCTCCTAGGCGCAGGAGCGTTGGGGGTTTTTGTCCTTGGGACCCAGGACAAATGAGGCTACTTCTTTTTCCTCGTTATTCCGTCCTGATGAGCTGACGCTAAAAGAGGCTCACTACCAAAAAAAAAGTGCACAAAACCGCAAACGAAATACATCGGCCCAGCAGACTTGCCCAGCACCCCACAAGTGAAAAGTGATGACATCGATCGAATCTCTGCATTATGCCACAAACCATTGGGAAGTCAGGAACTTGAACAAGCACAAATCACCCCCGAGATAAATATTTTTGGTGGCAAGCCTCTTTTAGCGTCATGCTAATCAGTAGGCGGTCCTTGCGCATTCGGTGTGAAGAGCAAAAAGCCGACTGCGAGCTTGCAACAGAAAACAACAAGGCGCAACCCCGAACAACAAAAACCGCAACCCCCACGACACCAACGAGCTCGCGCTCGCAGCGGCCAAGAAGTTACAAATCAAACAACTACCTACCACCGTCGAAGAAACCCGAGGAAGCTACTCAAGGGGCCGTAGAATGCCCAGGTATTCGACTTAAAGCAGCTATCCCGCTCAAGCCAGCCACTTTTGCAACTTCGCAATCCACATAGCATTTGTTACATGAATGCTTTCACCTTGCTGTGGCTGATGGCCTGTTATACAGATCCTTTTCGCACTATCGCCGATGTGACTGGTCAGGCCAGTGGGGCGATTAACTCGGTCTGGGACGGAAAAGGCAAGCAGTTGATTCTACAGTTGCTTCAATGGCAATTCTTGTTACGAGGTTGGGCAAGCATTAAGCAACAACATGATGTGCAGGAGTGAGCTACACATGTCTTGCAGCATGCTTCGCCGCCTGCTTTGCTTGGACATTGGCAATCAAGATTCATCGCTGGCAACAATGCTGTCTGTGACTCAGCTAGAAAGCTAGGACCTACACACCGATTGTTCTTCGGTTACCCGAAGAAGCTTGCACACTGCAGGAGCTGATTAACCGATGGCATGCACAGGCTGATGGTTTTGGTCGCACACCGCTGCAAGCTCTTCAGGTTGTTCCATCACATCTCTGCTTGTGTCTGTCCAGGTTTCGCAATGATGGCGAGATCACTGGGAAGACCCCTCTCGCAGTGAATCAGTTAGATGCTGTTTGGCGCTTTCCTATTTTCGCAGACGCGCAGGGCATTCAAATGAGCAAAGTTTTTTTTCAAATTTTTGGGCATGGTGGTCCATAATTGTTGCGTCCTGCGAACAGAAAGTGGCATATCACTGACGATGGGGTTCGGGCGCGACTCGCCAAACCCAATGAGCTTTCCGAAGTTGCTCATAATGTGGCTGAGACGCCTTTCCACAGAAAGCTGATGGAGTGGGGGTAGCACAGACTGTAGTGACGCCGGTAGTTCACTTTAGTTTGTGCGTAGCTGTCTGTCATTAGCTTGTGCAGAGTTTTCTATGTGAGTACATCTCAACTTTCGAAGTGGTGCTTTTCTTTCCATTTTGGGCATTGCTACTCGTTTTGCCTGCCGCTGGTGTGTGTTGCTGTGGGCACTCGTGCCGGACACACACACACACACACAGTGCTTGCTTTGCACCTCGGTGCGGAGCACTGGTCTGTAGCTTTCAGTTACCGGGCTTTTAAGCCTGTCGTGGCCTAAGCTGGGCGACTCTCGTGGACGCTGCTAGTTGAAAAAAAAGCCAGCCACTTTCAGCTAGATGTCGCCGAATTTGGTCGCCGTTCGAAATCGAATCGCAGACGCAGAAAGCATCATCCAACAGATTGTGTCGAGCACTTCCGTCCAGCGTTCAACGGACACGCGCACCCATTGTAGTCACGCACAAAGACTCGCAGACCCAATATGCATTCCTCGCAAGGTCCAGCGGAACAGTGTACAGCCCATGGCAACAGGCTTCTGTCATGTGTATTAGGAAGGCATGAGGGTTCTCAGTGACGATGGGGCAAGCCGGTACGGCGCTCGGCCCTGGACCGTGCTGCTAAAACTCTTTTGCAGCGCGTCGCCTGAAAAGCCGTGGGCAATGGTGAGCCCCACTGCTGATGCTGTTCAAACACTGTGGTGGCAAACCGGCCACCCTCGCTCCGCTGCCTGGTGCCCGCCACCGCCCTATCCCCCCATAAACGTAGAATCCTGCCCTGCCCCCCCCCCTTCCCCCCTCTCTTGGGGTGAGGGGGAGGGGCCTCCTTCTCTGCGCATTGGTGCATTGCGTAGGCTTCCCCAATCGGCTCGTGTATCTTCCTGGAGTGACCTCACACAAAGTAGAAGAGAACTCTATGTTCTCCAAACCCTGGTTTCGAACCCTTGGTTGAACCCCAGGAATTCCAGCTCGAACTCTTTGAACTTAGGATTCAACCAAGCTTCGAACTTGAATTCCTGAACTGAGGGTTCAAGCAAGGTTCGAACATTTGGTGGGCTTCTTATCTCTTCTTTTTGTTTTGCTCCCAGTTTCAAGCTTAGAAGAGTTGAGTCGAGAAGCAATTATTTGAAAATTAGACAAGGAGAATTGATATGAATTCCACCTCCCTCGTTTCTTTTTTTGTGTTCATAATGCGAAAAAATAGAAAAGTAGAGAATGAGCATAGAGAATAAGGTAAATTCCATCCCCCTCGTGTCTTGTTCTTTTTGTTTCTTGTTCATCGAAATCAGAAGAGGAAAGGAATCAGTGGAGAATTTTAATCAAAAGCGGAGGGTTCGGGGGGGCGCAGCCCCCCCCCCCCTTTGAAAATCAGAGGAGCAATGAGAATTGATCTAAATTTCACTCCCCCTCTTTTTTTGGTTTTTGTTTCTTGTAATCATTATTTGCGAAATTGAGAATGGGGTGGGGAAGGAGAATTGATCTAAATTCCACCCCCTCGTTTCTTGTTGTTTTTTGTGTTCATAAGTCGAAAAAGTAGAGAAGTAGAAATGAGAAGTCAGAGGAGTAAAGGAATTAGTGCAGAATTTTAATCAAAAGCGGGGGCTTGGGGGGGGCACAGGCCCCCCCCCCCCCACAGAGGAGGAATGAGAATTGATCTAAATTCCACCTTCACAATTCAAAAAGAAGAATGCAGAGAATGAGAATAGAGAATGAATTTAAATTCGGGCTTCGTGGTTTAGTCTTCGGGGAGGCCCAGCTTCGTACTTTAGTGTTCGGAGGAGGCCCGGCTTCTTAATTTGGTATTCGGGGGAGGCCCGGCTTCGCAATTTAGTATTCGGGGGAGGCCCTAATCCCCTAAACCCAAAACCCTAAACCCTAAACCCTAAACCCTAAACCCTAAACTCTAAACTCTAAACCCTAAACCCTTAACCCTAAACCCTAAACCTGAAACCCTAAACCCTAAACCCTAAACCCTAAACCCTAAACCCTAAACCCTAAACCCTAAACCCTAAACCCTAAAGCCTAAACCCTAAACCCTAAACCCTAAACCCTAACCCGTATGATCCACCAACCCACCCCTTCATGGAAGGCATCTGAGGCCTTCATGCTGGGCATCTGAGGCCTTCGTAGCTGAGTGAACTTTTTGGGGATAGGGTTTAGGGTTTGGGGTTTAGGGTTTAGGGTTTAGGGTTTCGGGTTTAGGATTTATACGATCATCCCCTATAGAGCTGAAAGTGTACACGTTTTTGGGGCTTGTGAACTCAGCAACGAACACTCTTTGGGGATACGATTTTTCCCCTATGGAACTGAAAGTGTGCACTTTTTGGGGGGTTTGTGAACTCAGCAACTAAGAAGTTTGCAAGGCGTAAGCATCTCAACACGTCAGCCTCAAGCTCTAAAGTTGCAAGCATTGAAAGCCTCCATCCAAAGCCCAAAACCGGAAACGCAACAAAAACCCTAGGAGACCTAAATCCCACAGAAACAGCCACCCTAAGAGACCTAGATCCTACAAGAGAAGCACCCTAAGAGGCGTAGATCCTACAAAACAAGCACCCTAAAAGACCTAGATCCTGCAGAAGAAGCACCCTAACAGACCTAAATCCTGGACCCTCCAAGCCAAAGCTGCGCGAAGCAGCGAACATGTCGGGCGCATGGCGGCCGTGGTGGCGCGGGCGCGGGCGGCACCCAAGGCCTGGATGGGAACCTCCGAGAAAGGGTCGGTTTCGGTGGCGGGAAACACGTTTTTTTTTTTTTTTTTTTTTTTTTTTTTTTTTTTTTTTGGGTCTGTTATGGAATAAAGCATCCTTATAATAAAAAAAATGGACCCTTGA